AAATAGAAAGAAATTAATTGGCCAACTAATATATATACAAAAAATTAGCCAGGCATGGTGGCGAATGCCTGTAGTCTCAGCTACTTGGGAGGCTGAGGCAGTAGGATTGCTTGAGCCCAAGGAGTTTGAGGTTGCTGTGAGCTAGGCTGACACCATGGCACTCACTCTAGCCTGGGCAACAAAGCAAGACTCTGTCTCAAAAAAAAAAAGTCTTCTTTAAAGCATCTAAGACAGGGGTCCTCAAACTTTTCAAACAGGGGGACAGTTCACTGTCCCTCAGACCGTTGGAGGACCGGACTATAGTTTTAAAAAAACTATGAACAAATTCCTATGCACACTGCACATATCATATTTTGAAGTAAAAAAACAAATGGGCAGAAACACCCGCATGTGGCCCTCGGGCCGTAGTTTGAGGATGCCTGATCTAAGAACTGGCCAGATAAGGAGAAATCACCAGGCCACAACCTGGGAAAGGATGGTAACCCTGAGAAGTAAGCCTAGCATTAGGAACAACTTCTGCCTTGAAAAGCATAGCCTACTCTCTGTTATAATTTAGAAGAAATAATGGAGAGTACGCTATGCTTTTGACAACCTCCTGGCAATAAAAGGACAAAAATCAGAGTCCTTGGTCTGTCAAAGGTGGAAGCCAGGTAATCTACCCCTTCCAATGTGCTTTACTAGGATTGGATCCCAAAGGGCTGTGTCCTAGAATTGTAAAGGAAACCAGCCCTTCCTTAGACTATAGTTATCTGAGTAGTCTAGAGAAATCTCAAATTTTGGTCAGAATAAAGAGATTCCAGATAACTAGTTCCCTGGGGCACCTGGCGGTAAGCAAACAAAAATTCTCTGAGGAAAAGTGACATCATCCTTGGCTTCAAATTATTTATGTGCACAACTTATCAAATACAGGGTCTAGCACTTAATCAAAACATAATTAGGAACCCAAAATGACATCATGAGCCAGAAAACAATAGACAATACAAACAGATCCACAGGGATTCCACTTAATGGAATTATTAAATACAGACTGTAAAACAACTATATTTTCTATCTTTTAGGAAAGAACAGCTAATGTTAAAAACTTTACCACAAACTAGACAACATTAAAAATGGCATAACAGACTTGGAAAAAACTGGGTAAAATTCTAGAACTGGAAAATTCTGGTAAACAAACTTAGAAACTTAATAGACGGATTCCACATCAGAATTAGTTAGAACTGTAGAAAGAATTTGTGAAATGGAAGGTTAAGACACCGTCCAGACTGAAGCATGGGGAAGACAAAGGATGGAAAAATACAGAAGCAAAGAGATGTGATGGATATTGAAAAGGTCTAATAACATGGGTTTAACTGAAATTCCATAAAGGAAAGTACTTCTAAAAATCCTCAGTATTTTATAAACTGTTCCATATTAGTAAATAAAGATCTATCTCTTTTGTTTTTATAAGCTGCATGATAGGTATTCCATTATATTTAAAGGGGTTAGGAGAATTTGAATTGTCATTGTGTATGAGTGTCCATTTCATCACCCTTAATAGTACAACATATGATCTGTCTTTGCCAATTTGATAGGTAAAAGTCCATCCATTTTAATTCCTATTTTTGATAATAATGCATTAATCCATGTTTTTAAAATATATTTGACTCTACAAGTCTTAGGAGTTGTCCAAACATAGCTTTTATATATTTTTGTCATATTACTAGTTTGCAGGAACACTTTATGCATTAGGTCTATGACCTCCTTGTTTGAAATAATTTCCTTAGTTTAACATTTTGTTTAATTTTATCCTTGGTTCTTATTGTTTCAAAGAAATTTTTTAATTTTTCTTGAACCCCCTTTCACATCTCCTTATTTCCCTTTATAGCAAAAACATTTTGAATGGATTGTGTGTACTCATTGTCTCCAGTTCTTGTGAATCTACTCCAAATAGGCATTCATTCCCATCATTTGACCAAATTAGTTTTGCCACCACATCCCGTGATGAGTTCCAGTCTTCATCTGTGATAATCATCCCCTCCTCCTTTACACACCCTCTTCTGTTGTTTGCCACTGTTCCATATCTACATCTACTGGTTTTTCTCCTGCTACACATAACTCTTCCTTCTCAGTCTCTTTGTTGGTTCCTCTTCATCTCTTCAACCTTTCAACTTTGGAATGCCTTAGTCCTTAATCCTTGAGTCTCTTGTCTGTTTCTACAGTCAGTAGGTGATTATATTCAAGTTCATAGACTTAAATCTCCATTCTAATGAATCCCAAATTTACATCACTAACTAGATCAGTGTTATCTAGTGGAAATATAAGCAATATATATGACTTTATATTTTCTAGTAGCCACATTTAGAAAGGTTAAAAGATATGGGTAGAATTAATTTTAATATGTTCTATTTAACCTAGTATATCACATATATATCAACATGTAATGAAATTATGAGATTTTGTATATTTTTTCATATTAAGTCTTTGAAATCTGGTGTGTGTTTTACATTTACAGTACATCTCAATTCAGATTAGCCACATTTCAAGTGCTTAATAGCCACATGTGGCTACTGGACAGTGCAGCTCTAGTTAACATCACTGATTTCCAGACCTCTGTATTTCTATTTGAATGTGTAATATATATCTCAGAATTAATGTGTTTCTCGCATTCATATCCATTTGAACAAAAACAAATCCTTTCAGTTCTAACCTAAATAGATCCAGGATTTAATCAGTTCTTACCTCCTCTGCTGCAGGTATTGTGGTCCTGGCCATCACTATCTCTTGCCTAGATTATTACAGTAGCCTCCTGACTGGTTAGATACCCACATGACTCTCTTCCTCTCCTCCAGTTTTTTCAAGTCTCACCTTATCAGAGAAGTGTTCCTGGACTACCTTATTTGAAGTGCAAACCTGGCTGGGCACAGTGGCTCATGCCTATAATCCCAGAAAATAAAAAAATTTAGCTGGGTGTGGTGGTGTGCACCTGTAGTCTTAGCTACTTGGGAGGCTGAGCCAGGAAGGTTGCTTGAGCCCAGGAGTTTGAGGTTATAGTGAACTATGATGATGCCACTGCATTCTAGCCCAGGCAACAGAATGAAACTCTGTCTCAAATAAATAAATAATACAAAGTGAAAACCTCTCCTTCTTACACATATCAATACATACCCCGTAAATCAGTATTCCCTTATCCCTTCAATGCTTTATTTATTGTTTTAGGGTTTTTGTTTTTATGGCAGTTTTGCACTCCTGGGTTCAAATGATCCTCCCACCTCAGCTTCCCTAGTAGCTGGGACTACAGGCACCTGCCAGCATGCCCAGCTTAGTTTTTAAAGTAGCCTGTCACTATTTCTCTTTGTTCAAAGAAGGTTTGATAAGAATTGTTACAGGATATATCTTTAGCTTTTTCAGTTCTTTCTATGGTTGATTCTCTGTTCACCTGTTTTTCTGAGTCTTTTTAAAAATTTGTTTTCCTAGAAAATTGCATTTTTTTTGTTTTCAAGTTATCCATCAGAGGTATATATGAAATGGCATCTTAGTACTTCTTTGTCTCTTGTTAAAATGCTTCTTTTCTCATTACTAATTTTTGTTTTAGTCCTCTCTTAGATTTGTCTGGTATTTATCTGCTTCTGTTGTCTTTTAGATGCTATTTTTACTGTTTTTAAATTGGTCACTTCTGTTTTTGCCTTAACTAATTGTATGCTCCACCTTTTTGGTTTATGTTTAGTTCTTTTCTAGATTCTTGAGTTGACAGCTAATTCCAGTTTTATTTAATAACAAGCCTCTAAATCTATGGCTGCTTTTGGTGGTAACTTTGACCATGTCCCATAGGTTTTGGTAGTCTTTGTTCTTATTATCATTAATTATTTTCAGTTATTAAAACCACGCTGCTTATGCAACACCAAAGTCAGGATTCAAAGCGAGATAGGCTGTTTGCATGGAATGAGATCTTCTGCTTTATAATGTCTTCTCATAGTATTATAGAACAGTGAGAGTAGAGTGAACTTGGATGATTTTTTTCAGGATTGTTTATTGAAATAGTTCATTGAGAATTAAAGTCAACTTTTTTTTCCAAACTCATCAGGAACCTTTCTAATACCTGATCACTAGATTTCAATTAAAGATACTTCAGCTTTTTGGAAGTATGGACAGTAAAGATAAGTAGGGATAAGAGGCTCAAAATGATTTTGTGAGTTGCCTGAACATTTATCCTATCGGTGTCCTTTGGGACTATTCATGTATCCATTGCAGTGTCTTGGTTTTCCTTTTAGTGACTAGCTTGGGCTTCCTCATCTAAATAGCTTTATTGAGGTATATTTTACTCATTGCAATGACTTTTTTAGTAACTTTATCAAGTGGTGCAAAATCACACCATAGATCAGTTTTAAAACATTTATGTCATCCAAATAGGATCCCTTATGCTCCTTTATAGTTAATTTCTTTTCCCACCTCCTCTTCCATTCCAGGCGGCCACTAACCTACTTTCTCCATAAATTTGCTTTTTCTGGACATTTTATTTAAATGGAATCATGCAGTATGTAACCTCTTTTGTCTGGCTTTCATTCAGCATAATGTTTTTGAGATTAATCTATGAGGTAATGTGTCAGTAGTTCCTTTTGCTGAAACATACTCCATTGTATGGATATACCATGTCACTAGTTTTTAATAATTGTACAATTTGTTTTGAAAATATTTTTTATCTAGATTTGACATAAATAGGGTCACATTATAGTCTTTAAGATTCTGTTTTTTGGTTTTTGACTTTTTTTGGTGACCTAACACATTGGTGGTTTCTTAGATGCTCCTTAGAAATTTTAAAAGAATGTCCTTGTTCTCTATGTCACTGTCCATTCATGCTTTTTTAAAAGTTACTCATATGTCCTACCAGTTTGATTTATTAGCCCTCTGATACCAGAATCTTTAACTATAACTGCTACTTTATCCCATTCTTCTTGTATTTCTAATAGTTTTTTAAGAATATGATGTCAAGTATAACAATAGTTTAATATTTATACCTTTTCTAGACTACATACCCTTGAGTGATGCAGGCCAGTGCAGTGGTGGAAGCAGCTTCTGATAAAGGCTACCACAGTAATGGAGGAAACCTCCAAAAAGGTGAGGATCCAGGGCAGTTGCCTTTATTCTGGGTGGGAAGGGGTTATAAATGTAATTATGTCAAACAGTTCCCCTTCCAATGTTGGTACTTTTTAAGCCTTCCTCCCATGAGGTAGTGAGATTCAGTGTGTTTTTAACTGGGCAAATTCACTGAGGTGATTTTTGGTGGATATGGGCAGTGTAGGCAAGACCTTTCAGGGAAAGGGAAGCTTTAGGGAGGGGAAGGTGAGCAGGAAGCAGGGTTTCTGTCCAGCCAGGCTTTCCAGAACTATTGACAGGTACAGTTGCATTTGGGTAATAGGTGGAAAGTGGGCATGTTGCCTTCTGCTGCCTAACAAGTTATATATGTTTTTTTCTTCCCATAAATCTGAAATGTCTTTTTGCTAATGGTAGAAAGAAAATGAGAAATACCAAGAACATAAAAAGCAAGTGACTAAACTTTATGTGCCCATGAATATATGTGCTTAAACGATTTTATTTTTTTTTTAAGATGGTGTCTCGCTCTGTCTCCCAGACTGGAGTGCAGTGGTGCAATCATGGCTCACTGCAGCTCAAGGGATCCTCCCACCTCAGTATCTCGAGTAGCTGGGAATATAGACACACACCACCTTGCCTGGCTTGTGGTTTAAACTATGAAGAAATATTCTAGGTTAAAACGAAACTCCATCCTATATTGTTCATGAGACACATTTAAAACAGGAAAGAAAGGTTTAAAATAAAAGGGTAGGCAAGTTAAGAAACAAATGAACTTAAAAATCTGGGATGATAGTATTAATATAGTATAATTGATGCAAACAGCATTATAAGAAGATAAAGAGGGCCATTTAAAAGTGGTAAAGTATTATACAATGATATATTATACAATAAAGACATCAGCCAGGAACCCTGATAGAACAAACAGTGTACTTTCTATTGATACATTACATGTTGAAATTAGAGAAAGGTGGTTGGAGATTGAATATGATAATGGTTCTCTCTTTCCCAGTAAATAGCAATAGGATTTTTCACCCAATTCAAAATGTTTCCCAAAAAATGAGTTTAAAAAATTTTATTTGGGGGAGAGAATGTAAAATAAATAAAAAAGTAAGACGCTTAACCTACCAGATATAAATATGTGATACTATAATAATTAAAACAATATAATACTGTTACACAAAAGATAATGAAACAGAATAAATAGAAATAGACTCTTAGAAAATTATGAAACAGATTTCAGAATATGATAAAGATGCTGTTTCAACTCAGAAGGAAAACAATAGATTATTTAGCAAATGGTGTTAGGACAATTGACCATCCATTTTGGAAGGAAATTAAGTTAGATTCCTACCTCATGCTAGAGAGAAAAATAAATTCTACATAATGTAGAAAGGCTAAGTGTTAAACATACAGAAACATGTAGAATTAAAATATAGGAGAATTTTTTTATAATTTGGTAGGGAAGGCCAAAGACACAAAACCCAGAAGTCATAAAAGACCAAGTCATTTCTGTTTCAAAACACTTTTTTTTTTTTTTTTTTTTTGAGACAGAGTCTCGCTTTCTTGCCTAGGCTAGAGTGAGTGCCGTGGCATCAGCCTAGCTCACAGCAACCTCAAACTCCTGGGCTCAAGTGATCCTCCTGCCCAGCCTCCCAAGTAGCTGGGACTACAGGCACGAGCCACCATGCCCGGCTGATTTTTATATTATATATATTAGTTGGCCAATTAATTTCTTTCTATTTTTATGGTAGAGACGGGGTCTCACTCAGGCTGGTTTTGAACTCCTGACCTTGAGCAATCCGCCCGCCTCGGCCTCCCAGAGTGCTAGGATTACAGGCGTGAGCCACCGCGCCCAGCCTCAAAACACTTTTTAAATAGAAAGTTTCTCTGAAATCTACTACTTCTCAAGCATTTACGTGCTGTGTCAGCACAACTCTGTCAGCACTTTTATCTTTAGTCCATTTTTGTGTGCCTATCTGTGACTCTTAGAAAATCCATAAGCATTTGAAGACAGCACTCATGTTTCTTTTCCTTTGTTTTTACAATGCCTAGGGCTGGCACTAGGAGGCACTCAGATTTATTAAATAATTTTATAAGAAAAAAGTTTCTTATTAGGCCTGCCTACAAACTGAGTGGCTGCCCTATAAATAGTCAACTCCTTGCCATTGAAAATTCAAGCAGAGCAATCTTGGCTATCTTAGTCTTCTCAGGCAACCATAACAAAATACCATAGACTGAGTGGCTAAAACAACAGAAGCTTATTTTCTCATAGTTCTGGAGGCTGGAAGTCTGAGATCAGGGTGCCCCTATGGTCAGGTTCTGGTGAGGGATCTCTTCCTGGCTTGTAGGTGGCTGCATTCTTGCTGTGTCTTCACATGAGAGAGGGGAAGCATGCTCTCTCCTATCTCTTACAAGGGTACTCATCATCTAAACGTAATTACCTCCCAAAGGCCCCACCTCCAAATATCATCACATTGTGGATTAGAGCTTCAGTATATGAATTTGGGAATTGTGGGGGAACACAGTTCAGTCTGTAACAGCTACTTATAAAGGATATTTGTCATGGGTAATATAAAAAGTATTTGTGTACTGGGAAAAGCTTGGAGCAGAAGGTATGTAGGGTTTTTTTTTACTATTTATATAATGTTGCTGTTTTTAACATTTTATCTTTTTTTTTAATCAGAAAAACCTTCTAAAACTAAGAAAGAAAATTTGTTATCTTCGAATGGCTGTAATGCAGTCAAATTGACTTTTCCTGATGATGACTGGGATTCCTTGGCACTAGAGCAAAGAGCTAATGACAAAGAAATTGGCAATATTGACAAAATAGATTTATTGGACCCATCTTTTTCAGTGAGTCAAGATACTAACAGAGAGAGTACTCAGTCTCCGTCAAGTGAGTTTGAAGACAGTACTAACTATGCTTCCTTAAATGAAACATACTCTATTCATTATTCAGAGTCAAAACTAAAGCATGAAAGTCTTATTCTTTTAAGTTCAGAATTAGATCCTGAAATGCAGAAAAGAAAGGAGATGTTTCTTGATATTTTAGAACATCAAGGTAATAAGACTGTTGACTTCGAAAGAATCTACAAGATTTCAGATGGTGAATATAAAGAAACTGCTGAAGATATGCAAAAGCATGATACAGATGAAGACTCACAGCAGGAATATCACAGTGCAGAAGAACAAGAATATATAAATAATCATTTATCTTTTGATCATACAAAAACATTAAGTATATCTAATCTGGAAGTTGTTGAATTAAGAAAGTCGGGTTATGAAGTTAAATGTGCTAGCAATCTAGAAGATAATCATGTTAAGTTGGAAAGTGGTTCCATCTTTTCTTTAGATTCACTTGATGTTTATGGAGAAGAAGATTCACCTCATATCTCCAAATTTCAGAATTCTGTCATGTTAAGAGAATATTATGAACCAAAGCATGAAAGGTGTAAGGAACAAGAGACTAATTTAATGTACCACACAGTATTTGATGACTGTATACTAAGAAGCAGTTCTCTTGGAAACCAGGAATCTCAATCTAAGAGTGGTTTCTTGAACCCTCAAAAAGCATTAAAAACTAAAATTTACACTGAAAAAACAAAATCTCAAATAACTGAAAGTAAAGATTTTTGTGGAAATACAATTGTTGAGAACAAAATATTACAGCACCTTAAAAATTCTAGTGCATTACCACAAGACAAAGCTTTAGAGACATTACTACAACCCTGTAAAGATTGTCAAACTTCCTGGACCTCTGTTTTTGATGATTCAGTAATTTCTTCCTGTGAATATTCACATTATAAAAGCCTACAAAACACCCCTGACCCAGCCTTAGGTTTTTCTATTACACTACCAAGGGATACAGTCAGAGATACTCAGGCAAAAGAAGAAGGTAGCTCCCCAAAAGTTGCCAGTAGCAATGCCACAAATAAAACATGCTTTGACAGTATGGCAGGAATAAATCCTAAATCAGTGACAGATGCAGCAAGTTGTCCAGTCACAATTAATCAGACTGTAGATGTTAGCGCTGATTTTAGGGCTTGTTTCACAACAAGCAGGGCAACAAGTGCAAGATCTTCTGTAGTATCTACATCGAGCAACACAGAGATTACAATGATGAATAAAAAACGGCCTGGTGAATGGCAGAGTGAGCAACAAAGAAGTGTGGCTTGTAATACAGAGTGGTCATGCAGTCAAGACTGTGTAGATGCTCAGGTGGCTATGATAAAAGGATCAGGAAACTCTCCCTCAGTTGACAGTTTAAAACCTAACGGAAATTTTCTAAATAAGGTAAAATCAATATGATTACAAAATTTTATTTGACTTTATAAAGAGACAGTATATGCTAACATAAATGTTTTTGGTTCATTGATTATATTGAGGCTTATGAGAAAATGTTAGATGAGGGGAAAGGGTGTATAGATTATTACCAGCTCTATCTTCTCCTGGCTGCTATTGCCACAAAGTCCACTAGAAGTTGAATTTTACATTTTATTAATACTAGTTTGGAACTCCAGATAGACCATATGTTATTTGTCATATATTTATAATTTAATTTAAAATCATTTTCAGGATTCCCTGGAATTAAGAAAAACATCTGATATCACAGACTTAAAGAAATATCCTGAGAGGTAGGTCAGATGTATGCACTTGGAGATACGTGTGGGGGGGAAATTGAAATAATATTTGTTTTCTGTGTAGAATATTTAACCATACAAAATACTAGCTAAAAGGGACCTTAAGAAATCATCTGCTTCAGCCGTTTGCCTTCAAACAAATAAATAATATAGAATATTAAAGCTCTTCATTTATTGAGATTTCAGTCTCAATTTCTTCAGAAACTCACAGCATCTTACCTGTTCAACCCTAACTCATACTGATTTAATTTTCCATTTTCATTCATTTTATTCCCCGGTAGACAAAAGCAAAAAGTATTTTTTGAAAATGTCATAAATTTGAAGAGGTAAATAGCTACTTTCACTGGTGCATTTGAATGTTGATTTTAATTTATTATATAATTTGCTTTGCATTTATTAAGTACCCTTATAATTCAGAACACAATGAAGAACCAGGAAGTGGTAAGGGAGAGAAACAGGGAGGCGTCTAAGAAGCCAAGTTAGTTATAATGTTCTGAGGTCATTTACTTTTTCCTTCCTTCATTCATTCATTCATTCATTCATTCATTCTTCTAAGGAGTTTATTGTGGCATCTCAACTCTATAAAATTAAATGGAGGAGTTGGTTTCCAGAAGCAGAAGTATTGAGAACAGCTGAAAGTGGCAACTGGAAACAAGGGTAGACTTCCAATAGCATTAACACTCACTGTAGTGACTTGGGGCTTTTTGATATATTGTAATAGCACAGCAAAATATTTGCTTAGGTTAATTACTCTTAATTACTACAAAAAATGTAAAATATTTTCTATTAAAAAGATAATATGTTTAAGAACAATTTCTATCCAAAATGCTTATGACTTAAAAAAAATCTTGGCCAGAGTTTGATTTAGGTTGAAAAATACATTGATTCTGGATAAAGTTATTACCTTAGATTGGAATCCTTTTTTGGTAAAAGAAAGTATGAATTTGAGAATCGTTTACTTCCTTGACTTCTAGAAAGAATATATTTAGTTGTGATTCTTGATGTCCTTGTTTTCTGAAGCTGTTATGTGTTCCTATAGCCTGTCTATCTTGAGTAGAATCAATTTAAACTTGACAGGGAATTGCAAGAAATTTAAAATGTTTCTAGAGGCCTGTCATTACTATAGAAAAATGTTTGGAATCTTACCTGATCCTTTCTTTTATTTTAAAGGGAATTTCAACTTTTTAAAGAGATGGAGAATTTGCCGTCAGTGTGCTGTCAGAAAATAATGCAGAGAGCCATGAAAGCAGAGCTGCAGCTTTTAAATGTTCACTATCAGATGTGTCATCGTCATTGTTGTGATATTTACAAACTTGTAATGGAAAATAGGGAGGGATTAAATAGGTGTTTATTGATTTTAAATCTGTATTTTTTTAAGAAATATATCACTACTTTTAATTTTATTCTGGAAAATGTTTTTAATTTTCAATTTTGAAGGGCAGAATGAGGGGTTAATTGTAACTGGGCTTGTTAGCTGACTTAGGGGTAATAGACTTTTCCTAGAAAAAGTAATGTTTGAACTTTATATAAAGTCCAAGTAAGGATGAAGTCAGGGGGTTTTTGCATGACATTCTACCACATTCTCTCGAGTTTATACATTAAGAGTTGTTTGTACTGCCCTAAGAAAAACACACTAATTGTGGTTCACTTTCTTTTGGTCAACATTTGAAAGAAAAAAAAATTTTAAGATCTAGAGAGTTAGAACTAAGTATAATATATTCATATTAGTGTTAAATGGATGAGTTGGGCCTAAATAGTTTTGTGAATTTAAATTTTAAACAGGAATTTATCAAGTAATTCTGCTAAGAAGGAATTAGGATCGGCACTACTATCTCTTTTGGGAGACTTAAAAGTTAGATATGAGAGTTTGAAAGAAAAAATACACAAGGGCATACCACTGGAAGAGCTGCCTCCACTGTCAGTAGAATCAAAATTGTTATCTACCTTCTCTACTTTTGCTTCCAGGGTATGTATATATGTTTTAGGAATAAAAATTTTACTTTATTTAGAAAACATTTTAAACAGAGATTTTTCTTTTCTGTCTTTACAGCTGATGAAAGAAGAATCACATGTGTGAGTTGATTTCATCTAATTTAGAACTCATTAAATCTTTAAAATCACTTAATCCAGTTAACTTTAAATTTTCTGTTTTGGTCCCTATTTAAAACATTGATGAATTCTTTAATGAAGTGTTTATCTTTTCTACTGATAGTAATATTTGTACATATTTATAGAGGATTCATGTAATATTTTGTTACATGCACTAGATGTATAATAATAAAGTTCAGGATATTTAGGATATCCATCACCGCATATATTTAATATTTATTATTTCTGTGTTGGGAACATTTCAAGTCCTCTCTTCTAGCTATTTTGAAATATAAAATACATTGTTAACTATAGTCTGCTATCAAACTTTAGATCTTATTCCTTCTGAAGTGTTTATCTTTTTAGCTTTTCAGGAGCAGATTCTGAAATAGATAATCAAAGTGCTCAGGATGTTGATGTTTCATCGAACCTAAAAAAGACACTCTCTCAAGTAAGATTTTTAGAAAGTTCATCTGTATAAATCTTTAATTTTATGGCTTACATAAACTATAATTTTCAGAGACTCCGACATCCTTCTTTTCACTCAATTAGCTTACTTTGTATACTACCATTTGAAGGATATAACTAATTAGAAGAAACATAATGGTGTATTTAAGTCCAGTCCTAATCAAACAGATATCAGCAATATATGTTGAGTAGGGTAAACATATAATTTATCATGAAATCAGTAGACTTTTGAGGATGAAAGAGAGTAATGTTAATCATTCACTACAGCAATAGGTATAAATCTGGACTATCCCAGACAAATCCATGATATATAGCCACCATCAAGTTGAGTGAGTATAGTTAAAACTAGTATCTTGCACCTTCATCTCATGAGGTAGAATAAAGTAATATTCCATTTGTTTGGAGCAGGGCAAAGTTTTAATTTCTCTTTTGTTGAAATGATGAAAATAGTTTTTAAATGCCTCTCATAGGTTTTCTCATTCTGTCTTGTTCCCCCAAGGAAATCTTGATCAGATGACAATCAAGAAAGATGATTTAATCTATGTAAGAACATCCCACAAATTATAAAGTGTTATAGTAGCATAAGTTACATTCCATTATCAAGTGAGGAGGCAATGGGATAGGAAAGCTGAAGATTATTTCTGCTTTTCTGACTTTGGTCATAACCTTAAGGTTTCATTATTTGAGTGGTCTTAAATCCCCGAAGATGGAGTCCCAAGTCCAAAGGGAAATATTTGATTAATGTATGTTTCTTTCTACTAACATGAATGGTAAAAAATAAATTGCTTTAACAAATTATTCTATTGTTAAATTCTTTTTTTAAAACTCAGTTATCCACAAAGAATTAAGATTCATAACTAGATTTTTATGTACTTAAATGTCTTACATATTAATACTTTGCTTAAACAATTTGTCTATTTAGTACTATATGATGCTTCTTAAGGGTTTTATTTTCATTGTAATGGTACCAATAGTATAACCTGCTTATTTAGGGAGAACAATAAATTTTTAAAAGTAGAAGATGCAGATATAATTTTTATAATCTTAGTTTTGGTTATAAAACAATATCTATTTTAAGTTGGGATTACATTTTAGTCCTTGTCTCATTAAGTTAACCAGTTATGCATGAAAGCCAGTATAGTGTAATATAGTATTTCTATATTTCAGCTATTCATGTACCATCTTCACAATTTACCATAGCCTTATATCACCTATAATGTTAGTTATTCTGTATTTTTCTTTAAATGACTCTCCTTTTTATAAAAATTTTAGTGTAAAGAATAATTCACTGTTACATATAGGAAAGAAATATTACTTCCCATAAATAAAAGATAAACATAAGCATACACTAAATTAACCATGTAATTGTTAAAGGTTAATGTTACCAATATTTATATATACCTCCAAAAATTATCTCAAGTACTTCTGGTATGTATATGTCACATTTTGCAAAATACTAGTGTTAACACATAGTAACTATACACCGACTGGATTCAAATCCTAATTCTTGTTAACTGTGACTTGGCATAATAAGTTTCTTAGTTCATTTTTCCCATCTGTAAAGTCAACTGATGGTTTTACTTTCATAGCGTTCATTATTGTAAGGACCAAATAATGCCAGTGAAGAGTGCCTGTCACATAGTAAGAGCACAATAATTGTTAGTCCTTATTGTTTTTATTATCTTAATCCTCAGATATCTTTGTTACCTGACAATAGTCATCATATACCAGATATATCACCCAAAAAAGATTGTTTAAAAAATGGTGATATAAATGTAGACTTTGATCAACTGAAACTTGATGATAAAGGTTAGTATAAAAGTATATTATCTTTTATAATTGCCAGAAAACAAACAAGGTTTAAAATATGTCTAGTGTTTATTCATTAAATCAAAATAAATATTTTTAATTGACTAAAATGGCATCATTCTGATTGTGAATGTTAAGTATGTTCTTATTATTTTTGCTTGACTTTTCTTTAAAGTCACCTAATATATCTGATGATGCTGTATAATAATATGGATTTTTATTCTTCATGTTTTCAATATGAAAACTTTGTGTCTAATTGTATTTATGTAAATTATCTGCATTTTTTAGTTTTGTCCTCTATGAAAAGAGATTATGGTCATTCCAAAAAGATCATTAATTTTAATGATATATAAAGAGTTGCAGCACTATTTAGTCCTTTTAAAGTTTTCTGTTATTCTATATATAAAGATAAAAGTAACAGTTTCCATAAACTGGGAATTAGTATTCATTAAAGGGAAACTAGGAAGCAGTTTCCCATTAAAGGGAAACTAGGAACAGTTTTCAGTTTCACTCAAACTGAAAAGAACTTTTTATTTGGGGACTGCTGAAATGAAATCCCTTCTCACAGAATCTTTATTCTTGGTTCTCTTATTTTGCTGATATTCATCTTTAGATTTATATATAAAACAAGTAATCATAGTGATTCATCAAGTTTTTTACATAACTTTTCAGAGGGTTAAGCATTATAGGTAATTCATAGCTCATTGTTTTCAATTTATTAGACTGTAGAAATTACCAAGAAATAAGTCAAGACTGGTTTGATGCTAAAGAAAACCTGACAGGAGTTGACTTCTCAGGAATACAAGAAAATCAAATAGAACAAGATAGATGGAATCCGAAGTTTACATTAGGTTGGTTTAACAATTTACTAAGAAATCCTAACCTATTTGTAAAATAATGCTTACCTGCTTCTGTGTTGTGTTGGGTGACTGAGCTGTTTTAATATAATATTCCTGTTTGTGGTTTTTCTTTATACAAAATGAGAAATTGGCCGGTTGGAGGTCAATTTTTTAAAGAGCAGAAAATTGCTAAAAGCTTAAATCCAAGATTTAGTTAGTAGATAAACCTGCATTCTTTTCCTCTGAGCCCTCATTGAACACTTTCCTGATGTGGTTACCTGGTAAACAAAACCAACTTCTCAGTTTTCATCAGGTAACCAGTACTAATCTATCAAATTGGTGTTAGTGATGAAAACTATTTGCTTTCCCTCACTTTAGTAATTTCATCTATTTCAGGAATATTTTCATCTTTAGATAGTCTTGAAATGCTTATAATAGTTAGAATTTTCTCTAGTGCCTGTGATTATTCTATCATTTCTTATGATAATTATGCTACCTTCCTTTATTTTTATCTGTATATTTCTGTGGTTTTTAAAATTTTCCATATTAGCATTGTTTTTATTCTGCTTGTATAAATAATGGCTTATTAAAATTTTTAAATAAAATATGAAAATATAAGAAAGTTAAAATTATCTGAAGTTTCTCCAACCTACAGTAAACACTATGAATATTTTAGTGACCACTTCAATGCATTTCTTTATGCATATATTTAATACATATATACAACTTAAAATAATGGTATTATATCATCTGATTTTATTGTAACTATTTTTCCTTTCCTTGCATTATTATTTTTCTCCATATCACTTGTCACAATACTGTATGTTTTACTTACTTGATACTTGATTGATTACTAGGTTGACTGCCTTCCCACCCTTAACATACCAGCTCAGCAAGATCAGGGATTTTTGTTCACTGCCAAGTACAGCATGCAGCCCGTAGAGTATTCACTAGATATTTTGTATTGAATTAGTGAAAGGTTAGGTGATAGGTGTAATGTATACCCTCTGACTCTTTTACTGTTTTATATCTCTTCTTTTTCACTGCAATATAAAAATGTAAAGCTAGGTAGTTTCACTATTTTCTCTGTAGAATACATTTATAATCCAAAGAGATTAACAAATTAAATGAAGTAAGTTAATGAAGAAGGTGAGGTATTAATTACCTAAAGATGAAAGACTCTGCCTGAATTCTAGCACTAATACTTAACAAATTTGTGACCTAAACTCCTATGACCTCAGTATTACCATCTGTAAAATGGAAATAATAATAATAATAGCTACCTTATGGGGCCATTGGGAGAATCATGTGAGATGATGTACATGACGTGCTTAGCATATTGCCTGGAGCAAAGCATTCAATAAGTGTTAGGCTACTCTTATTACTATTATTAATGAAAAAAGTAAAGTTTACAAATTTCCCATTATTTAAAAATTATTAAAACATAAGTAAAAGTACTCATGGATTCATTCAATAGTATTTGCGTACTTCCTATGTGCCAGGTATAGGATTTGCTAGTAATTCAAATCTCAATTTAGTGAATTTTTTAAAATTTCAGACCATGTTCCCTTTACAATATTGACTATGAGATTGCAGTCCAAGAATTTTGAATTTGCCAAACAAGAAAAAATTTATAATCCTAATATTTGTGATTTCCAAAATTATGCCGTCTAACTCAAGTAATTTGTCTCTTTTTTCTTATGTGCTCTTAATATTATCACAAGCTGTAAAATATCTGCTGTTGATATTTGTCTGATTGAAAGGTTTTCTTGGTGTGATGTTTCCCCAGCAAAGGAATGTGTGTAAAGAGATCTCTCAAACCACTAGCTCTAGCCAGCATTAACACTAAGGAGTTAATAAGATCCTATATACATCCAATATTCCTATAGCACTTCTCTGAACCAGGGACAAATGACAGACTCTTTTAGTCATGATGTACAGTCAGCCTATGGGTTCTGTATTCATGAATTCAACCAACTTTCTTGTCATTATTTTCTAAACAATACAGCATAACAACTATTTACATAGAATTTACAATATATTAGGTATTATAAGTAATCTAGAGATAATTTAAAGTATACAGAAGGATGTGTGTAGATTATATGCAAATACCATACCATTTTATATAAGGGACTTGAGCATCCTTGGATTTTGGTATGGAGTCCTAGAACCAAATCCCCCAGGGATACCAAGGGACTGGTGTAACTAATTACTCCGTTTAGATGTAATTTATTCATTTGAGCTATGAGAGACTTAATACCAACTAATCCAACCCATTTATATTTAAGATGATATGATTAAGGCCCAGAAATCTTAACACTATACTGCAGGCTTTTGGTCTTCAGTCTAGTCATGCTGATATTTGCTGATAACCTTATAATAAGCTTTGTGATAGTAAAAATAAACCATGAAATAGTTAGCGGTTTTTCATGTTCTCTTAAACATCTCAATACAATAATGATCATTTCTGTTGTACATTTCTGCTTGTTTTTCTACAAGCAGAAATGAATGTTGAACCCTTACGAAGAGATAAAGGTTATTTGATACATGTTGGTGGTCTCTGCCCTTCAGTATCTGAGGTATGACAAGATTTCTTTTTTGAACTTCATTTTTAAATTTATTAATTGTTCATATTATGATTATTTGTTTTTCTATTTTTCACAAACTTATTTCTCTTTTTTTTAGGCTGATTTAAGATCTCATTTCCAGAGATACCAAGTTTCTGAAATTTCAATTTACGATTCTTCTAATTACAGGTATGTTTCCCAAATTCAGTCAAATGAGCATTACTGTGTGCCTGCTATTCACTAGAGGTTCTGTATCAGACATCGCCACAGTGATGATAAAGTCAAGGGCTATGCCCACAGGAGCTTCCCAGGCTAGTGTAGGGGACACATAGACAAATAGCTGCAGTCATTAGTTCATGCTGTTCTTAATCAGATCTTTCTCTGATTATACTTTGTAGCTTGTTATTGGTGGTATATAGGAGACTTACTGACTTTTGTGTACTTTATCTTGTTACATACTGTTTCGTAAGGAAAGTAGAGTGCCTTAAAGAGAATGGGCTCCAGAAATATATAACTTTGGTTCAATTCCCTGGTCTGTCAGCAACTTGATGAATAAATTTGGGCAAGTTACTTAACCTTTTTGTACCTCAGCCTCTTTGTCTATGAAGTGAGGTTAATAGTACTGCCATAGCATTGGTGTGAAACTATATGAATTAAATATATAAAACACTAGGAGTAAAGCCTGGAACATAGTAGATGCACAGAAAACTGTATTTAATTCTATTATTTCTGATTTTAATTACTTTTTAGATGACACTTTTATACTTTTTAGATTGATAGCTACATCATCTATATATAATTTCTTCCAATATGTGTGTTGCTACTTTCTATTTTGCGACATTGTCAGATCATTCAGAAGTATCAAATCACGATGGGGATGGCTTAATGGAAATCAATTAAGAGAGAATCCTGTTTGTAGTTGGGGTTGAAATTTGTTTAAAAATATATGTTTAATTTTATTTAATTGAATCACCTAAGATTTTATGCTTTTAAAATTTTACTCATTAAAGTAGAATTCATACATTTAATTATATTAAAGTAGTATTATAATCCTATGAGTATTACCAGATGTGAAAGATTCTTTTAGTATCTTGTTGAATCCTTAAAAAAAAAACTTTGTGGGTTTTTGCTTAACTATTATACATTCTGTGTGAAAATTTAGAAAATATAGTTAAATGCAAAAATACAAGCAGGTTATAAAAAATCACTCATAGTCCCATCATTTGAAAACAACCACTTTTCAGATTTGGTATATATCCTTCCACTGACACTGTCTAGGTCTGGTGCTTTTATAGGAATAGGTCTTGCCCAGCTTTCTTAATTATGTGGTTAAAATTATGATTAGATTTTATAACTTTTTTTTTTTTTGGTCTACATATTTTCCCACTACAAGGGCATAAAAATATTCTCTTAAATATTGTCGTAAATGTTTTAAATTTTGACTTTCTCTTGCAAGCCCTTGAGTCCTCTGGAGGTTATGTTTGTATATAGGAATTAGTTTTAATTTTTTTTACTATAAATAACTAGTCCCTAGATCACTAATCTCTGCAACTTTATCATATATCAGCTTTGCAAATGTTTTCCATTAAATTTTAATATAAAATTAATAGATAATTCATAAGAAATGCTTACTATCTTTTATTTCCCATCTTTTATTTAGTTATCCTAAATAAACTTTCTTTCTGATTTCAAGCTAAGTATATCAACCTTTTTATTTTTAAGAGCAGTTATTGTGAAAACTATGTGAGTCAGTGGTTGCACAATTAAGTTTAAGGTAATTTAAAGTCATTAATGAAAAACCTTTTGGTTTTCTGCTTTTCTATTTTAGATATGCATCTCTTGCTTTCAAAAAAAACAGTGATGCAAAGATGGCTGTGAAAGAAATGAATGGGCTAGAAATAAATGGAAAATCAGTAAATGTGCGACTTGTTAAAACTCCTGGAGAATACCCATCACCACTTGCCTCCAAATATGGGAATAAAACTAGTTTGAATAATTTGGAGAAAAGCACCAACAACGAAATCAACTCAGCCATTCCTGTTTCTAGATTGCCCAGAACTCGGGCAAGGCAGCTGGGATCTGAGCAAGATAGCGAGTTTTTTTCTTTTGACCAAAAGGTTAGTTTTCTTGATGGATCCCTTAAATAGTCTTTGTACATTCCATATTGCTATAAGTAGCTTTGTAGAATAAATAACTGCAGTATCAGCAGTCTTGAAGTGGGAATAAGAGCAGTAATCTGAATTGTTTTTAACCTTGGATCACCCTAACCTGCTTTTGTACAACTCCACTTGTTAGGTGACAGATGGGTGAGTGAGCAAAGCTTCATCTGTATTTATAGCTGCTCCCCATCACTTGCATCACTGCCTGAGCTCCTGCCTCCTGTCAGATCAGCGGTGGAATTAGATTCTCATAGGAGCTCCAACCCTACTGTAAACTGTGCAGCAAAAGATCAATAGCAGCGAGGTTTGACTGCACAGAGACCATAATAAATTAATTGTTTGCAGACTACTATCAAAATTCTATCAGTGAGTGGCAAGTGACAATGTAATAATATAGAAATAAAGTGTACAATAAATGCACTTGAATCATCCCCAAACCACCCAGCCATCCACCCCCAATCCTGGTCCATGGGAAAATTGTCTTCCATGAAACCAGTCCCTGGTGTTAAAAAGGTGGAGGACTACTGCTTTATAGTCTATTTTTTTTTCTTTATTCTTGAATAGTACTACTCTATAAGTAACTAATTATGCTTTTATAACTCATTTTTTATAGCTAACTTTATCTCATAATTAAAACCATAAAGTTTAGTCATTTTATTTTCCTATGCCCTCATCTGTACCTCATTAAGGTTTTAAACACTATGTGGAAAATGGTGGAAGTTTGCTTTGTTCACTCTTTCCACTACTCAGCAAAATGCCTGGAATCCTATAGGCATTCCACAGATCTTTCTTTTTAATGTACATATAGTAAAATGCACTTTTTAGTGTCCATGACTTTAGATGAATGCATACAGGCAAGTAACCACAACCATAATCAAGATACAAAACAGTCCATCATTCCAGAAAATTCTCTCATGCTCTGATATATTTTCTGTTCTTATAATTTTACCTTTTTCAGAATGTCATATAAATGAAATCATACTATGTAGCCCTAATAGTCTGGCTTCTTTCACTTAGCTTAATGCATTTGACATTGATACATGCTGTTGTGTGTATCAGTATTTGATTCCTGTTCATGTTTTGTTCATTTTTATTCAGTTATTTTCTTACTGAGTTTTGAATTCTTTATCAGGTGGGTATGTGATTTGCAAATAATTCTTCTCATCTTGTGCCTTGTGTTTTCATCTTAACAGTGTCTTTCTCAGCAGGAGTTTTAATTTTGTTAAAAGTATCTATTAATTTTGCTTTTATAACTTATACTTTTTAGTATTGTAGCTAAGAGATCTTAGCATAATTCAAGTTCACAAAGGTTTTGAGTTAATTTTTACATATCGTTTCAGGTATGAATTGGTTTTGTTTATTTGCATTTGTTTCTGTTTTGCATATGGAATTGTTCCAGTGTCATTTTTTAAAAAGACTATCTAGTTTCCATTGGATTACCTTTGCTTTGGTTAAAAATCATTTCCCCTATTTATGTGAATCTATTTCTAGACTGTAACTGTTCATTGAACAATTTATCTATTTTTCCACCCATACTACATGGTCTTGATTACTGTAGCTTTATAGTAACTTGAAATCAGGTGGAATGAGTCCTCTAACTTTATTATTTTTTTAAATTGTTGTGGCTGTTCTAATCTCTGTCTTGCTATATAAATTTTATAATTCAACTTGGATTTTTATTGGGGTTACTTTTAATCTACAGATGAGCACAAATGTCCCTTTTTAATAAATGGATGAAAGAATAAATATTCCTTGAATAAATGAATCTAAATTTTTCACTTAATAAAATAAAGGGATCTCTTTTAAATATGTCTGTTTTCCAATCCTTTTCTAATTCCTGGAGTTATCCCATTCCTTTTCTATACCATTAGCAACTCCATTTCCACTCACAGACCTTTGTCTCTACTCAGGTGTCAGGCATAGCCCTCCTTTGTCCTGACAGGATTTTCACTTTTCTTTGCGTTACTTACTATCCTTATCTGTCCTGTGTTTTTATTGCCAAACTTCTCAGTGAAGTGATTTATATCCAATCTCTAAATTTCTTTGGTTGCTTCTCTCCTCTGTCCTAATAATCTGACCTCAGTCTTTAAAATTTCACTTGAACTGCTCTTTCCATTGTCAATGCTGACCTTTTTATTAGTCTTTCCCCCATCTGACTTCTTGACTCCTTGGCCTCTTTAAAATTAGCAATTTCTTTCTTCAAACTATTTTCCTCTCATCTCAGTGACACTTCATGTTTAGGATGGATTTTTTGTTTCCTTCCTTCCACAGTAGGAAGGAAGGAAACAAAGTACAATTAAGTTACCTGGGGACCTAAACAGAAGGTTTGAGAACTGTGGCTTCTCCTCTCCCTTCTCATGTAGCAGTTAATATGGTTTCTTGCCTCTGCATCTCTATACTCATTCTCCTCCTCCTCCTCTCTGCACACTGGTTTTATCTGCTCATGACTGTTTTCTTTCTCCATTTGGCTTTGTTTTACTTAATTCTGACTCTACAGTATTTTCAGTTTGATTAAGTTGCTTCATATTCCAGTGCTACATTCTTTAACAAGAAATCTAATTGATCCAGCCTGTGGTTTTGGTCTTAAATTAGCTCAAAAGACAACATTCTTGGTCCAGTCAGCTGTGGCAGTAGGCTGTGAGGTTGGCAGAGGGAAGGTATAAATAGGGCCCTGTGGGCTATCAGTAGTGGGCTATCTAAGTAGTTTTCTTAGAGTGTATGGTTAGGGAAGCTCCTTTTACCATCTTTGTTAAACTATGCTCCAAGTGCTCTTACCTTTGTAGCAATTTCTTTTTCCCTTTTTCTTTTTCTGATTCTAAACATTCTTTTCATTTGTTTGGAAAATATTTATTATCTACAATGAGAGGCAGAATCATGATGATTAAAAACAACTCATATTTATAACCTGGCTCTACCTCCTACTCATCATGTGACTTTGGGAGAGTTACCTAACCTCTCTGAGCTTTTTATCTTAAAATGAGAATAATAGTTCTTACCTCAAATATTTAGAAGTTTAAATGAGCTTAATACAGAAAAATTCTTAGTATAATGTACTGAGCATGTACTCAGTAAGTATAGTTATTATTATAAGCTATTACATACTAGTTAGTAATTTGGCTTTTTCTTGGAGAGCTCATTTTTTCTGTGGTTTCAACTATCACTTTATCGCATTCCTATCTTTTCATTTATTCAACAAATAGTTATTACATACCAACTATGTACATTATTCTAGGTACTGGGATAGCAACAGTGAACAAAATAGATAAAAATATGTGCTCTTATGAAGCTTAAATCTAGTGGGGGAGATATGGCAATAAGTAAAATATGTAATATTATGATATGACAGAGCTAATAATATTTTATGTGTTTTTCCCTGACTTTTCATCTGGGATTTAAAGTCTGAGCCCTTCCTTTGTTGAATTTTTACAGGATTTACAGTGGTTTCCCACAATTCATAGCCTATTTGCATGGTTAATAGTAACTAATTGATCATTTTAATTTTATCTTTTCACAAATGGAGGGGGCTGCACTTTATATTACTAGTTTACCTGCCACGATCTGTGATGTACTTCTGGGCATACAGTTTGTGTTCATTACATACAGTATTTAGTAAATAAAACATAGAATATTTATAATTACTCTTCAGACCAGCCTTTCTAAGTAAGATTGATTAAAAGAATTAAGCTTTAATGCCCTAAGCCTAAAACATTCATTTTATTTAATGGGTTAACCTCTCTCTTGTGCATCTAGAATGGATCTAGTTATGTCTTGTCTTTGGGAGGGTTGAGAAAATAGTTACATAATTTTCTGTGTTCTGTGGTTCAGAGGAGGAATCCCAATTGAAAAAGCTGATGTAGATAGTCTCATAGACTTTATCATTACTATAAAAAAATATGTTAGGTATGTTATTTTAATACATGGCCCTGAACACAGCGGAAGTAAATTTACTTGGTATAAATAATCTTAAAGTAAAATTTTTAGAACATTATTTTATTTATAATTTTAAAATTTATTTGAATTGAATAAGCTGGATTTATCTCTATGTAATGGTTTTAGGAAAACTTTTTAAATGCTTATTTAGGGTGTCAAGAAGAATTGTAAACAGATTGAATCTGCTAAATTATTACCTGATGCACCTATTAGATTCATACCTCCAAATACATTGAACTTGCGTAGCTTCACCAAGATCATGAAGAGACTGGCTGAACTACATCCAGAAGTCAGCAGGTAACAACTAAAATTATATTTTAATTGGTTTTAAGCTTTTTATGTAAAAGTATAGTTCAGTAACTTAGCTATAGTCAGAATGTATTACTTTGGAAAAGACAAATGCTCATGTATGTTTTCCTTTTGCCTAGAGACCATATTATAGAAGCTCTTCAGGAAGTAAGAATAAGTCATAAAGGTTTTCTGAATGGCTTATCTATTAATACTATTGTGGAAATGACTTCATCTGTTCTGAAAAATTCTGCTTCCAGTTAGGAATAAAAACAAGAGGTAAAACAATCATTCTTTTTTATTTAAATATTACTTTAAAATTTTAAGCTATTGATTTCATTTTTCATACAAATAATATTAAATTAAAAATAATAGGCCGGGCGCTGTGGCTCACGCCTGTAATCCTAGCTCTTGGGAGGCCGAGGCGGGCGGATTGCTCAAGGTCAGGAGTTCAAAACCAGCCTGAGCAAGAGCGAGACCCCGTCTCTACTATAAATAGAAAGAAATTAATTGGCCAACTGATATATATATAAAAAAATTAGCCGGGCATGGTGGCGCATGCCTGTAGTCCCAGCTACTCGGGAGGCTGAGGCAGAAGGATCACTGGAGCCCAGGAGTTTGAGGTTGCTGTGAGCTAGGCTGACGCCACTGTACTCTAGCCCAGGGTGGTAGAGTGAGACTCTGTCTCAAAAAAAAAAATAATAATAATAATAATAAAATACAGAATTTTAAAACAAACATAAAACTATTAATATAAAACCATTCACCCCCAAATTGATTAGTTTAACAGTTATCATCTTACCGTTTCCAGATTAAGATTCAAGGGTAACTTAGCTGGGTAGCTTTAGTTTAGACTCTTTCATGTTGTAGTAAAGAAGTTGGCTTGGACTGTAGTCATCCAGAGGCCATGCTGAGCCTGGAGGATCTCCTAAGATGGCTCATTCACATGGCTGTTGGCAAGAGGCCTCAATTCCTTACTACATAGGCCTTTCCATAAGGCTCTTTGAATGTCTTTACATTGTGGCAGCCGGCTTCCCCTGAGCAAGAGAGCAAGATGGAAGCTGCTTTGACCTACCCTCAGGAGTCACAATCCTTCATTTTGCCATATTCTATTAGATGACAGTCACTACATGCAACTCATACTCAAGACGAGGGAATTTAACTCCACCTTTTAAAGAAAGGCATATCGAAGAATTTGTTTATATATTTTAAAATGACCACCGATGAACATATAGACATACACACATTATAGGTGTGTAGATGACTCGAGCCAACTGTCCACCGAGAACAACTAGAAAAGCTGAATAAATATAAAAAACATCTGCTTGAAGGTACTTATGAGCTATCAAGATAATGATGAATTACCACATTATGGTACAAAGAGGAGACTCGAAGTATGCTCAGTGTTTGGGGCCACTTTCCCCCAGTATTATTTGCAGAGGAGAAGCTAGGAGTTCGTGGGCCATTTTGATAGCATTGTAGCCCCAGGGGTATAGGATCTTGGTAAATTCTCAGCGTGGGAATTAGGACCCCAAAGGGCTGTACTTGAGAATAAGTTTGAACTAGTTATACATGTTCCTCAAAAGGGCTATAACTCAGCTTCAGAATTTAGTCCCTAAATTAGATTGAGGTGATCTTGGGTTGTGAGTTCTGCCAGGCACCTGGAAGAAATGAAAGTAAGACTTCTCTGGAAGAAAATAATATTTTAGGCCTCAAATTATTTATGCCTACAATTTTGTATTTGTTAGTTTATTTTATAAATAAGAACATACAATCAAAAATAATAGCCAGCAGGCACAGTGGCTCACACCTGTAATCTCAGCACTTCAAGAGGCTGAGGCAGAAGAATCACTTGAGGCCAGGAGTTTGAGACTGGCATGGGCAACATAGAAAAACCGTATCTCTACAAAAAATGAGGAAGACATCTCAAAAGCTGAGGGAAAGCTAGGCCTCACCAGTTAGCCAAGTTGCGAATGCAAAGGACAAGTTCTTCAAGGAAATCCAAAGTTCCACTCCAGTGAACACATGAATGACAAGAAAGCAAAACAGCTTTATTGCTGATACAGAGAAAGTTTGTGTGGCCTGGATAGATCACACCAACTACAACATTCCCTTAAGCCAAAATCTAATTTAGAGCAGGGTCCTCTCTCCAATTCTGTGAAGATTGAGAGAGGTGAGGAAGCTTCTGAAGAAAAGTATGAAGCTAGCAGATGGTTCATGAGGCTTAAGTAAAGAAGCCATCTCCATAACATAAAAGTGCAAGGTGAAGCAGCAAGTGCTAATGGATAAGCTGTAGCAGGTTATCCATGAGAACTAGCTAAGATAATTGATGAAGGTTGATACACTAAACAATAGATTTTTAATGTAGAAGAAATAGCCTTCTATTAGAGGATATCATCTAAGATTTTCATAGCTAGAGAAGTCAATGCCTAGCTTCAAAGAACAGGCTGACTCTTGTAATGAGCTAATATAGCTTGGTGACTTTCAATTGAAGCGATGCTCATTTACTATTCTGACAATTCAAGAGCACTTAGGGATGATACTAATTCGACTCTGCCTGTGCTCTGTAAGTGGAACAACAAAGCCTGGGTGACCACATATCTGTTTACAGCATGATTTACTGAATATTTTTAGCCTGCTCTTGAGACCTATTGCTCAGAAAAAACGATTCCTTTCAAAATATTACTATTTATCAACAATGCACCTAGTCACCCAGGAGCTCCAATGGAGATGTACAAGAAGATTAATGTTGTTTTTACGCTTGCTAACACAACATCCATTCTTTAGCCCATGGATCAAGGAGTAATTTTAGCTTTCAAGTCTTATTATTTAAGAAATATATTTCGCATGAAGATTGCTAAGCCCAGGAGTTCAAGGCTGCAGTGAGCTAATTGCACCACTGCACTCCAGCCTAGGTGACAGAGCAAGACCCCATCTCAACAAAAAAAGAAATATATTTCATAAGGCATTAGCTGCTATAGATGCTGATTGCTTTGATGAATCTGGAAAAAGTGAATTGAAAGTTTTCTGTAAAGGATTTATTCTAGATGTCATTAAGAACATTTGTGACTCGTGGGAGGTCAAAATATCAACATTAACAGGTGTTTAGAAGTTGATTTCTACCCTTACGGATGACTTTTAGGGGGTTTAAGACTTAAGTAGAGAAAGTCACTGCACACGTGGCAGAAATAGCAAGAGAACTAGAATTAGAAGTGGAGCCTGAAAGTCACTAAATTGTTGCAATCTCATCATAAAAGTTGGATGAATGAGCATCTGCTTCTTGTGGATGAGTAAAAGTGATTTCCTGAAATGGAACCTACTCCTGGTGAAAATGCTATGAACATTGTTGAAATGGCAACAAGGTATTTATATTATTACATAAACTTAGTTGATAAAGCAGCAGGGTTTGAGAGAATTGACTCCAGTTATGAAAGAAATTCTGTGAGTTAAATGCTATCAAACAGCACTGCATGCTACAGAGAAATCTTGTGAAAGGAAAAGTCGATCGATGTGTCAAACTTCATTATTGTCTTATTTTAAGAACTGCCTCAGCCATCTCAACCTTTAGCAGCGACAACCCTGGTCAGTCAACAGCCATCAACAGTGAAGCAGGACCCTCCACCAGCAAAAAGATTGACTCACCAAAGGCTTACATGATAATTAGCAATAAAATATTTTAAAATTAAGGTAGGTACATTATGTTTTTAGACAATACTATAGCACACTTAATAAACTGTAGTATTTCAGTGTAAACATAACTTTTAATGCACCGAGAAACCAAAAAAGTCACATACCTCACTTTATTGCAGTGGTTTGGAACCAAACCCACAATATTTCCAAAGTATGCCTGTGGTGATTTCTAATATCTGTGTAACTGGAGTTTTAAAACAACAACAAAAAAAAAAGAGAAAAGAAAAAATGTAGCAGATACAATATTTGAAAAAATTATGGCTCACATATTTTGAAAATGGTGAAAAACATCAAGACACAAATTCAATAAAACCTTTTTAAATCCAAAGTAGGAAAAATAAAAACCTCAGTACATCAGAGAAAAACTGCTTAAAAAAATCAAAGCCAAAAAGAAAATCTAAGAAGCAACTAGAGGAAAAAGGCTTAACCTTGAGTGCAGCAATTATACTGAGATCTGATTCTCAACGTAAACTGTCAAATAATTTTATAAACCTCTAGGGTTTTATGCCCCAGGAAAGAGCCTTCAAAAATAAATGTAAAATACATTTTCACACAAATAAAAAAAAACTAATTTGTTACTTTAGAAAAAGACCCACTCTAACGAAAATACTATAGCATTCTCTGAGAAGAAGGAAAGTAATTTTAAATGAAAACCCAAAGGTATAGGAGAAATGAAGATTTAAAAAGTAATTATGTGGTATATCTCAGTATTGACTTATAAAACAAGAATAATGGTGTTGGATGGGGTCTAATTGAAATACATGACAATGCTAGTAATGCTATTCTAAGCACCTTGCAGTTTAGTGAGAGGGTAAAATGTCCTTTTTCGGGGGGGTCACCAAGATCACCCCAGGCTCTGTCATTTGCTACACTACACATGACTTAGTATATTCAAGGCTGTGATTTATTACAAGATGCAAAGCAAAATCGGCAAAGGGAAAAGACATACGGGATCAAGTCTGGAGGAAATAAGCTTCTGAGATTCTTCTCTCAGTGGAGTCACAGAGGGTTTACTGAAATTCCTCCAGTAATCAATTGCGACAGCATCTACAAAATGTTGCCTACCAAGGAAGCTCATTAAAGACTCAGTGCCCAGGAATTTTATTGGAGGTTGCTCATGTATGGACCTCTGCCTAGCACGTACCGAACTTCCAGAATCTTTCAGAAAGCAAGCCACTATTCAGCAGTTTTAAAATGGTAAGGTACTCATCAGTTCTGGAAATGGTGAGAAATGTGCCCCCACCCTCCACCCTGACAAATTGTAGTTTCCAGACATCAATCGAGGGCCCCCCTTGTAAGCAGGTCTTTTGAGAATAGCAGTCTCAGACCTACTATGTTAACTCTCTTTTCCACACATGTACAAGTTGATATCAGACACTGATAACTAAAGAGTGCGTGTTGTAATTTTTGAGGCAACCCTAAAAGAACAGTTTTAAAAAGCACACGAAAAGGTTGGACCTCTACTTACACCATATCTAAAAAATTAACTCAAAGTGGATCAAAAACTTAAACATAAGAGTAAAAACTATAAAACTCTTAGAAGTAAACAGTGAAAAACCTTCACAACATTGGATTTGGCATTGATCTCTTAGATATGACATCAATGCACAGGCAGCAAAATAAAAAATAGACTTTATTAAAATTAAAAGTTTTGAACATCAAAGGACAATATCAGAATGAAAAGGCAACCCATGGATTGAGATAAAATATTTGCAAATTATATTACATTATTAAATATGAAATGTCTGATTTCCTTAAGTATGAATTTGACAGTTGATATCTCTGACACTTCACTTTGACACTTCTTGTTTTATTTTTATTATGAAGGTATATCCTAAGTATGTAAAGCCCACATTTTGGCTTATGATTATCTTTCAAAGTTTTTGGGGGGAGCAATTTTTGTGAAACCATGGATAAGTCAAAAATTCATGTTATTTTCAAATATGAGTTCGTGAACCAATGCAGTACAGACAACTCAAAATATCAATGTAGTGTTTGGGAAGGATATAGCTAGTGAACACCCAGTATTATTGATGATTTGAAGTTTCAATCTGGTGATTTTAATCTAGAAAATGATTCACATGGGCAATCTGAGACCAAGGTGGATAATGATGAGCTAAAAGTTGCAGTGGAAGGGAATCCATCTCAATGGATGGGTGAATTAGCAGCAACATTTGACGTTACTGTTTCAACAACATTAGACCATTTGAAACAAATTGGCAAGGTAAAAAGCTGTATAAATGGGTTCTACATGAATTAAACGAGTGTCAGAAGAGGAATCATCTTGAAGCTTGCCTTTCTTTGCTGTCACAACATAAAGGCAGGCCATTTCTACACCATATTGTTATGTGTGTTGAAAAATGTATTATTTTTGATAATTGCAAGCATTTGATACAATGGTTGGATAAAGATGAAGTGCCAAAACCAAATATTCATCAAAAAAAGCTGATGGTGTCTATTTGGTGGTCCAGTGCTGGTATTATCCACTACAGCTTCATGAACATGGTCAGTTACAGCAGATGTCTACTAAAACCAAGTGGATGAAATGATGAGGATGCTTGTGATTAAGCAGCTGAGATTGGTCAATAGAGACAGGCCAATCCTCTTGCAAGACAGTGCTCCAGCCACACGTTGCACAAACAACGCTGCTATAATTACAGAGGCTGGACTTGGAAACTCTCGGTCATCCACCATATTCACCAGACCTTGCACCAACTGACTACCACTTCTTCCAGGCTTTGGACCACTTCTTGCGAGGAAAAATACTCAATTCTCAACAAGCTGGCGAAAACACCTTTCAAGATTTCATTGCCATTTGCTCTCTGGCTTCTTCACTGCTGGCATAAACAAGCTACTGTTAGGATGGCAAAACTCTATCAGTAGTTTAGGTGCATACTTTGATTAATTGTACTCATTCTTGTTTAAGATATAATAAATCACACTTTTGATTCGAAATCACACATTTCATATTTAATAACCTAAATATATTCGATAAGGGATTGATAGCCAGAATATTTAAAGAACCACAGCTCAACAACTAGAAAACCACCCAATTAATAAATGGGCTAAGGATTTGAGTAGATATTTCTCCAAGAAGATATACAAATTGCCAATAAGCACACAAAAAGATGTGTTTAATATCACTACTTATTAGGGAAAAACAGTCGAAATTACGATGAGAAGCCAGCACACTGTGGCATGCTCCTTATAGTCCTAGCTACTCGGGAGGATTGCTTGAGCCCAGGAATTCGAAATCAGCCTAGACATCAAGACCCTATCGCAAAACACACACACAATGTGAGATACCCCACTTCTTACCCATTAGGATGGCTATTACCCAAAAAACAGAAGAAAATAATGTTACGGAGAAACTGGAAGCTTTATGTATTGCTGGTGGTAATGTGAAATAGCACCACTGCTGTGGAAAACAATATGGCAGTAACTCAAGACATTAACATAGCATTAATATATAATCCAACAATTCTGTTTCTGAGTATATACCCAAAAGAAGTGAAAGCAACAACTCTAACAAGTATTTGTACTCCCGTGTTCATAGTAGCATTCACAATAGCTAAAAGGTGGAAGCAACCCAAGTGTCCATCGATAGATGAATGGATCAACACAATGTGGTATATACATATAATGGAATATTATTCAACTTTGAAAAGTAATGAAATTCCGATCCATTACACATCATGGAAGAACTTTGAGCATTAAGCTAAGTGAAATAAGTCAGTCACAAAGGATAAATGCAATATGATTCCATTTATACCAGATACTTAAATTCATAGAGACAAAGTATAATGGTGTTTGGAACTGGGAGAAGGGGAGAATAACAAGTTAGTGTTTTATCGGTACAGGGTTTCACTTTGGGATGATGAAAAATTCTGGAGATTGGTGGTAATGGTTGCACAAAAATGTAAATTTACTTAATGCCATGGAACTGTGCCCTTAAAAATGGAAAAGTTTGTTATATATATTTTACCGCAAGAAAAAGGGTATAATTGTTATGCTAGTATAGGAGGAGAGAGATGGAGTAATTAAAAAATAGTACAAAAGTAGGTAATAAAGGAAAGTCAGAAAACACATAGAAGAGTCAAGATAAATAGGAAGTACTTAGTAAAATGATGAAAACCTAGTATGTCAGTAAATATAACTATAAATGTAAATGAACTAAATATTACTATAAAAGACTAAGATTATCAGATTGGGTTTTTTAAAAACAAACATATATAGTATCTTTAGAGACATATCTAAAAAAATACCAGGATATCAAAAGATAAAAGCATAGAAAAAGAACATGCCATATTAGTACTAGAGAAAGTAGATTTTAAAGCAATAAAATTATTGAAAGAAATAGTGTACCAGGATTAAATAATAACTCAAAATTGTTTTGCATCTAATAAAACACCTTCAAAATATATGAAACAAATATTTTCAGAACTAGCAAGAGCAATGGCAATTCTGCTATTGTAATGGGAGATTTTAATCATACCTCTTTAACTGATAGAAGCCGCGGACAAATCAGTAATGTAAAACATTTGAACTATCCAAATAATCAGCTTGACTTACTGGACTTATATAGAACATAGTGCACACAAGAACTGCAAAGTCAAATCACTTCAGGTCTCCTGAAATATTTACAGTTTGCCCATGTGCTGGACCATAAAATAAGTCTCAATAAATACCAATGGACTAAAGTTTTCTGACTACAATGCTACTAATCTGGACATCAGTAATGAAAAGTTCTGTTTTGGAAATATATGTCTATATAACCAGTGCATGAAAGAAGTCATAATGAAAATTAGAACATGTTTTAGTGGATGATAATGAAAATGCTCCATGTCAAAACTTGTGGGATATAGTTGAACTGTGCTAACTGAAATGGATAGCTTTAAATGCCTGTGTTACAAAACAAAAATGACTGAAAATTAATAACCAAAATATGTAACTCAGGAAGTTGGGAAAAAACTAGAAAAGTAATAACCCAAAGAAAGTACAAGAAAGGAAATAATTGAAGTGTGGAAACTAATGAAACAAAACCAAATATATAATAAGAAACAAATTCAAAAGTTGATTCCTAAAGAAATATAATAAAATTGATTTTTATATTGATAAATAAAAATTTATTATATTAAATGATATGTGATTAAACTGATTAAGAAAATAATCAAAAGGCACAAATAGCCAAGGTAAAGGATTTTTTCCAAGAAAAGTATGACTACAGACCTCAGAGACATTAAAAAGACAATAGAGGACATTGTGAATGACTTTAATGCCTTTAAAACTTTAGATTAAATGGGCCACTTCCTAGAAAAAATTTAACTTAACAGAAATGACACTAGGCGATATAAAACATATTAGTAGTCCTATATTTATTAAAGAAATTGAATCATAAATAGAATCTCACAAAATAAAATCCAGGCTCAGATGGCTACGTTGATGAATTTCTCTTAAAGGAGAAAGAATATCATTCTAAAAAGTCTTCCAGAGAAATCAGCAGTCTGAACACAAACACCAGATAAAGACATTATAAGAATGAAAAATCATAGGGCAATCTCATAGACATAGGTGCAAAAACTTACAAACAAAATATTAGCAAACTTAATTCAGAAATTTATGAAAATAATAATACATTATAGCCAAGTTGACTTCATGAATGCAAGATTGAGCTAACATTTGAAAATCAATGTAAGAGAGGATAATTGTGTTATAATGTTATCAATAGGAACCAAGACCTTTTGTGTACAAGGAAAAGGATATGGGTTAAAAAATAGTGGAGTTTTAAATTCTATACCATTACATTTGAGTTAGAAGTAATATAAACTCATTTTGTATTTTAAAAATACATATTTTAGCATTTCCACAGAAAACACTTAGAAGCAGTGACAACCCATTGTCACTTAGCATAACTAGCATCTAGATTGTCATTTCTAAATACCTTTTCCTACTTATTTTCCTTTTTACAGCCATACAATTAAATATACTGCTTTATATTTGCTTTCTTAACTATCTTACCTTTCTTGTTTCTATCCCTTTTAATCCAGCCTAATCTTGATAATTTCCAAGTTCTCAAATAATCAGCTAAGTGCTTTTCCTTATTCTTCATACTCCTAAACCAGGTTGTTACATTTAATAGTCTTTATGAGCCATTCCCTTACAATTATTTTAAATTAAGACACAAATACATACAATAAAGAACAGTAATCCAAACTGTACAGCTCAATGAATTTTTACATGTCTGTGCGCAGGTCTGTGTAACAGGTCAAGGTATATAAGGTTTCTAGTATCCCGGAAGGTTCCTACATGCCCCTTCTCAGTCATTACCCACACACAACTACCCACAGAAATAAGCCTTATTCTGACTTTCCAGTGCTCAGAATTCAATGAAAACATAAAATTCCTGCCTTCAAAGAACTTACCTTCTAGAAAGGAAAAGGAAATACATCAAGATAATTTCAAATAGTGACAAACATACAAAGAGTAACGGGCTAGAAAATAACTGGAGTAACTTAGGTGCTTCATAGTGAGTAAAGGAGGTTTATCACCTGACTTCAAGTCATTCTCTGTTCAAAACACTGCAAAGTTTTTACCACTTTGACAATTTGGTTTTTTCTTTTAAAACAGTCTGAAAATTCTCTGTATATATAATATCTGGTGGTCTGTTTCTGTTAATTTAGTAAAAAAGTTTAGTGATTTGATTAATCATGAAATAGAGTTTAATGGTAAATGACTATGTGATATTCATGTATGTGATAATGAATTTTATCAAAATGATCTGTTTAATAGAGTATGTGGATAACTAATTATGTACTTTTCTGGAATTTTGGATTTAGCTTAATTGACACATTTATTATTGATTTCTTCTCTTCTTGACCCTATAGGATTTCTTTGGAAAGCATGAGTTTCCTGCTTCAGAGACTGTTCTACTTTTTTGCTAGAAAAAAGTAATAGCAAAATGATATAATTAAATAGGCTCTATAAATGGATGTAGCTGTAAAAATATTCTACTTTATAGCCCTCCTTTAAAATCTAGCAACATTTGCTTCTATAATATTAAGATCTTCTCTTTAAAAAAAATAAAATTTTAATAAGTTACAAAACTTTAATTTGAACTTGTTAGAGACTTCAAGCTGCATATTTTGGATTAGAAAAAATAGTCTTGTCCACTTAAAAAACTTTTATTAAATTGGTTCTTTAAAATATTGACTGAGAAATCAATATTGAAATCATTTGTGAAATGATTTTAATACATTAAAAAAAATGTAATTTACCTGAAATTTATGTCTTAGTTACCGTTTTCAGTTGTCTTAAGACTCTTACATTGGACCATAGGATAATAGATAAATAAACTGAATCTATAGATAAACAACATTTTGGAACGTGTATATTTTTAACCTTCCAAGATAATTAAATTACTGCTGTGATAACATTTGATGCATTTTTATGACCTCAGTATAAACCATTCAAGTGTATTTTGATTTTCACTGGGAATGATGAACCCATGAGTGCTTTGGTAAAGTACTTAAATTTAAATGGTCGCCATATTGCTTGCATCCATTTTGTGAGAAGCTATGTTGTATTAGGTTAGAGTGTAAATTAGAACAATTTTAAAAGGCTAATTTTGTGCTTTAATAGCAATATTGAATATAAGCTTCTTTAATTGCTTTTTAAAAATAACATACTGTTTAAAGTTGCATTTTTACTAATAGTAAGATTAACATTTAAGTATGCTTTTTCTTCAAATGTTTAAAATGTTTAAAACATCCAATATTTAGTTGGTGTCACTTGATTAAAAATTACCCATTTAACATTTATATTTGATGTATTTATATTTAATAAAGGCAGCTAATTTGTATTGCCACTGTAAATTTAATACTTTCTACAGGTTCAATGGCATTTTCCAAGTATAAATTAACCTACAAGTATGTATGCAGAATATACATGGATGGTAAGGCTATATATCAAACTACTGGATATCAAAATTTTCTTTTTATAGAATTTTTGAGGATAAGGTTTTATTTCATATATAAATTGGTATCCAGTTATTAACACATCTACTCCAATGTCTACCAGGAATTGGGTTCCAAAAAATTAAAATTTAAAAGGACCCTATTTAATGAAACTTGAGAATCATTGGTTTGGGCCATACATCAAATTAGAATCCTAACATTATGGGATTGTTTTCCCCTATATGTATGTTAAATTACATGGTTATTTATATTAAAAGGCTACATTCAGAATTAGCACTGAATAAACCGGCAACATGGAATGGACATTATTTTCAACCTACTAGCAGAAATAAGTATTAGATCAAGCCCAGTTGGGGCTTGATCTAATTACATGAGCAATTACAAATGACCTCTAGTCATTTGTTTCTAGAAGGAATGATAAAGTGAAATTCCCTTTTAATAGTAACATAGAGACAAAATTACTGCATTTGATTTGGGGAAAGTATAGGAAGGGTTATTTTAAATTATAACTTTCAAGTCTTTTGCAATAAAGAAGTACTCTCCAAAAACTGAAGGTAAGGATCAGGCAACTTATGTAAATTAAAGGGCTTTCAGCTGTGACCAGTAAATTGATAGCTGCTCTTAAGCTTCCCTAGTTAAATTTAGAAACTAGAGTTATACTTCATGAATCTTTTGGAACCTCAAGTGAAAAATCATTGCTTATCATACTCTCTGAAATCTCTATTTTGATTATTAGATAATTATGTAAAATTCTTGTAGAATTTAAAGACTGGCCAGATTGTCCCTGTTCGGTACCAAAGAGTACTTAACAATATCAACATACATAGATAGTTATGTTTGGAGATAACCAAAGATCTGAGATGTTATAAATACCCTAAGACCAGGAGTCCTCAAACTTTTTAAACGGGGCCAGTTCACTGTCTCTCAGACCATTGGAGGTCCGGACTATAGTTAAAAAAAAAAAAACTATGAACAAATTCCTATGCACACTGCACATATCTTATTTTGAAGTAAAAAAAAACAAATGAGCAAAAACACCTGCATGTGGCCCACAAGCCGTAGTTTGAGGATGCCTGCCCTAAGACTGTCAGCAAAAAAAAGTGGGACTAAAAATTCCTGATTGGCTCTGCCTGATGCCAATACGAATTCTGGTCAAAGGCAAAAATATGTGTGACTGAGAAGCTCAATACAACAGGTAGTTTCAAAGAAATGGTTTTCAGCCAGCAATCGGTATATATTGACTTTTAAGTACTGCTTTTTCACTATCATCCATTGTTACTAATTATCAAATGTATACACGGCACATAATAGTAAAATGTTTAACATGTGGGAAGAACAGTGACCTTCTAAAATGTCCTGTTAATGTATCTTACATGGCAAAGGGAATTAAGGTTGCAGATGTAAGTAATGTTAATCAGCTGACCTTGAAAGGGGGAGATTATTCTGAATTATCCAGCTGGGCTTGATCTAATTACATGAGTCCCTAAAAGTAGTAGAAGAGGCAAAAGAGAGAATGAGAAAAATGGCATTGAGAGAACTCTACCCAGTGGCTGGCTTTGAGGACAGTAGCCAAGGAATGTGGGTGGCCTGTAGAAGCTGGAGCAGGCAAGGAGACAGATGCTCCCTGGAGCCACCAGAGGGAATGCATCCCTGCTGATACCTTGATTTTAGTCCAGTGAGACCTATGTCAGACTTCCGAACTCCAGAAGTACAAATTTAATAATAAATTTGTTATTGCTTAAGTCACCAAGTTTATGGTTATATGTTATATAAGCACTAGAAAACATACAGTTATAATTGTTCTCTCTATAAACTTTCAGGAACAATACAAGATTATTTGTAGATTCTGTGTATCTTTGTCTAAATTTTGACTCCGGTGGGGGGAGTTATGTGTGAATTATGAGTGTTACTTAAGTTTCCGGTTACTAGTATTTACACTGAATTTATATTTTAATAACATCATAATAGTTAAGGGTTGATAGTAATGGTCTCCAGACAGATCAGAAGATGTCTTCCTTATTTATATTATGGTCATTGACTGTTATGAACGGCTTTTACTTTAACTGCCAGGAAGCTGAGAGCCAAACTTGTGGTTCATCCTTAATGGTTAGTGTCTAAGAATGCAGGCTCTGAAGAGTAAAGCCTCACTGCCCTCACAGGGATAAAGTGTTTACCGCTGTATTTGTCCCAGTGTAAGAGTGTCCAATCAAGGTATGCTGCTGCTGGTAGTGCTGTCATCTAGCAGTATATAATGATGCGTCTTTTTGCATATTGACTTTGCCCTGATTTTGTTGGAATTAAATCTGTTTTACTTCATTCTACTTTCTTATTTTGTTTCTCTTCTATGTATGTCTGCAGCCTGCCTCAATATTTCTTACAATAAGGGTGTGGTACCGTGACTCACACCTGTAATCCCAGCACTCTGGGTGGCCGAGGTAGGAGAATCACTTGAGCTCTGGAGTTTGAGACCAACCTGAACAAGAGTGAGATCCTGTCTCTACTAAAAATAGAAAAAATTAGCCAGGTGCAGTGGTGTGCACCTGTAGTCCCAGCTACTCAGGAGGCTGAGGCAGGAGGATTGTTTGAGCCCAGGAGTTTGAGGTTGCTGTGAGCTAGGCTGACGCCACAGCACTCTAGCCATAGCAAGAGTGAGACTCTCTCAAAAAAAAAAAAAAAAAAAAAGATGTGGTCAGTAAATGTGCTCATTGCTGTTGGAGTTGGTCTTAGGCTCTCAGTAGATATAGCTAAGAAATATGTGTATGTCTATTAATCTATGTGTATAGACACCTGTATTTCTATATTTATAGCTAGTCATGAGTACAGTATATATCTATGTTCATATTGCTACTTTGAATTTCTACCCCTTTTGTTAATTTTCCTTTCACCAATAGTGAGAAACCTAGCTCATAACTGTTTCCATGATACATTTATTTGTGTAATCCCAGTATGTACATAAAATCATTACAGGGCTGCTAAACCATAGCACTGTGAGAAACAGATTTACTAACTGAAATATAGCATTTGTATACAATTCTTTTTGTCTTTAGCTTTATAGTATGCAAAGTACTGTATCCTAAATTTACTTAAGATGTGTCTTTCATTTTCCTCATCCCCCTCAGCGCGGTTATGTTACACATTTGTAATAGAGTCTCTTGGAGGGTGAGGGGTTTCTTCAGTTTATATCTGTGAAATTTTATCTCTTGGTTTTCTACAGCAGCTCTGGGTGGACTTTTCTCTTGTTCATTTTTATGATTTTTTTTTAAACTTTCGTATCTGGAGTGTTCAGATGTCATTTTTCTGGAGATTGTTCCACATCATCTTTAGGCCCCTTCACTCGCCAGCGTCTTCTCTCTCCTTCACAGTTTTCCTCAGTCTGTCTTTGCTCACCTCTAAGCTTATGGCTGGCTATGGGCAGGGCAGGAGTGTGAGGCTGTACAGCGGGGTTTGGTTGGCTTTTTCTCTTACAGTTGCTTTTCAGTCCTAAAATTCTCCAAGTGATGCTGAGGACACAGTTTTGTATAGAATTTGCTTTTTATGTCTTGTGTTTTGTTTCATTTGGGGAGGGCATTGGAGGAATAAGAAGATCCCTTAGGAATAAGAAGTCCTTAGGGGATTTGAAAAACTGATGCTTGATGAAGCTGAGTACCCCAAATCTGTTTCATTAATGTTTATCTAACAAGTGTGCTATTTAAAAACTCACAGAACTACGTTGTTACTGCTTATAAACGCCATCTTCCAAACCGCTCAAGTTTAGCCTCTAAATTGCCAGCCTGATAGAACACCAGCAAAATCTTCCTTCCCCTCTGTATCAGCAAATTATTGAAAAACTGTCTCTAGAACATTTGGTGCTTTTTTCCTTTCAGTACTAAAAGATGTTTTTTTCTGGTTTGCTTTGTTTCTGTGAGAACTCTTTTTGTCACCCTTATCTTTGTTCTTCTATACATAATGTCTTTTTTCTCTGGCTGCCTTTAACGTTTTCTGTTTATTATTGGCTTAAGCAATTTGATTGTGATGTGGCTTAGTTGTATTTTTCTTCATGATCCTTATGCTTGGGGTTTGTTGATGTTCTTGGGTCTATAGGTTCATAGAAACTGTTTCACATAGTTCTTCACATATTTCCCATCCCCTTTCTCCAGAACTCCAATTACACCCCATATTAGGCCACTGGAAGGTGTCTTGTGGGTCTCTGGTGCTTTCTTCTTTTATTTTTTAAAGTCTGTTCTGGAATGTAGTGGCTACTTAGAAATCCTTTGCTCTTGTTAGTTCTTGCTTTTAAGTTTTGTTAGGCAGCACCAGAACAGCCTTTATAATTTTGCCCAACTACTGAGGCTTTACTTTTCTAATTATTCTCTCTGATGGTCTGTGTATTTCCAGGTTTTCCCACTGTGGTTGATGGTACTGGAACTATTCTCAGATGGGTGTGAGCTCTTAGGTTCTATTTCCTGCCTCACGTAGTATCTGTATATTATGTGTGTGCGTGAGACTCAAGGGGCCCTCTGCGGATCTCCTGAGTACGTTCTCCGTGCAGCTCTCTCCTCTCTGGTCCTGTGCCCTGCCAACTCTAGCTCTCTGGCTTCCCCAACTCCGGGTTGCTTCTCCCCTACCTGTGGTCTGGAAACTCCAGGTAGTGAGCAGTCCTAGGGCTCACCTGATTTGTTTTCCTGTTCTCAGGGATCCTTGCACTGTCTGTGGTCCAGTGTGACAACTGTTGTTTCATACATTTTGTCCAGTTTTTGTTTTTCTTAGTTTAAGGCAGAAAGTAAGCCCTTCCCCTATTACTTCATCATGGCTGAAAGCAGAAGTTTTATGTGAATTTGTGTTGATCGGGTCTTGTTGACCTATCTAGATTGTGTCTTTAACCCTGCAGTGTATACAGTGAAGCATTTGGCCATTTCCTCGCCTCTTCTATTGTTTAGCCTTAATGTCCATCTAGATGGAGGTGTCCTGGAAGAGGGCTGATTATCCATGCTACCTACCTATTACCAGTCAGAAACAACACAAATCACGAAGAAACTATGCAGGGATAAAACCAGCTCCTGTGATAATACATATCACTGTAGGGACAAAGACGGGGATACCCGTAGTAGTTACTAAGAAATCTCTTATCCAGACCCAAGATGCAGAAGTGAAAATCATTAGGAGAGAATGTGCCACGGCGTGTATGCCCCCACTTCAGCATTCTTCAGAGAATTGTGGTTTTCCAAAAGCATGTGAACTTGAGAAATATGCTTTGTCTTATTAGGAACATGTGTCTGTCAGAGGTTGTGTGAGAAAATGGAGAGGAGAGGCTTCCCCGCCCTGACTTTGCCTCCTCTAGCAGTTAAGCTTCAAAGAGAAAATGCTGGGAAGGAGGACTCCTGAAAGGAGCCCCAGGTGCCAGCTATAGGAGCACGCACGCCAACAGTGGAAAAGGTAGTTCGAACCCAAGGGGACCCGAGTGTGGGGCGGGAATGACAGCTGCAGAGACATGCAGGTTCTCCCTCACTGGTGACTCGCTGTCACCCAGTGTAGGATGCACAGTACACCTGTCCCAGGGCTGCACTGGCACCAACTCCTTCCTCAATTAGCCGTGCCATTCTTACGTGGCACAGCCTCAGGCCACCAGACCTGTGCTGTCTGCAGTGCCCTGTGCAGTTGTCTCCCACCCAGCCTCAGGACTGCCTAGGGCTGCATTGTCCTAAATTTTCCTTTGTCTTACACTGCAGCTGAGGCTGGTGTCCCTTGTTCCATATGGTTCCTGTATGGTAGCACTCATTGATATTTTTAGAGGTCACCCAATAGACTGATCCGTTGAAGGACAGGGCTTGATTGTTTACCTAGTACACAGTGAGGACTCAATGTGTCCAGTGAATGTAGTGGGGAGGCCAGGGTACTTGATGGGGGGGTATCTTCCTAGGGTTCAAGAAGGGGGCTAATCAAGTCAAGAGAATATGTGCCCTCCCCTGCCGTCTCACCCAGACCTCCAACTCAGGACATGGTGCCCCAAGTGGTAGGCATGCTGCCTGAGTGCCCTCTCAGCTGAGTTCAAAAGGACGAATGAATGACCACCTTGCTATCAGCTGCCACCCTTTCTCTGATCTTACAGCAGGTGGCAGCAGCCTCTTAGCCACAGCTGTCCCCTTTCATTCCTGTTCATGTGAGGAAATGTTGGCTATTCAGCAATATTGTGTGCCCAGTGCTGCACCACGCATGAACCTTTTGCCACTAAGGAGACAGCCGTGGGCACTGCATGAGGGTGGTGATTGCCCCTCCAAGGGCAGTGGCGTATTCCTTAGCACGAACATAACTTTACTCAGTTACTACGAGTTCTTGAGGCAGGATTTGCTGAGAAGGAACCACCACTGCAAGGTGAAATCCAGCTGGTAAAGCCTCGAGAGAGCCCAGGTCAGGCTCCTGCCTCCCAGTTAGCTTCCCCAGCTGATTTCCTGTCACTCCAAGGGGCCCTTCTCGTCACTTTACATAAACTAATGTATACAAGACCCAACCCCCATCCCCAATCAGCTCTCCTTGCAGTTGCCTGGTGACCACGCCCCAAGGCAAGTGCATCCTGTAGTTACAAGCCCCTTGCCCTTAAGTTCAGGGTCAGGACTCTGAGGCGCTCCTAGCCTCCTGCGGGCCTCTTCTCACCTCTCACCACCCATCTTTAGCAAGTCCACCCAGGCCACCTTCAGTCCTTCAGAAGAGCCCTGCTCCCTCTGGCCTTTGTGCGCGCCCGCCCTGCTGTCCTGACTGCCGCCGCTCATCCTGCAGATCTCGGCATTCTAGTTCCTCGTCCGTGGGTGTCCTTTTTTATTACGATGGGTCTCCCCAGGCGAGTGGCTGAGTTTGCCCCCACGGGCTCCTCCAGGGTCTGCACCTGGGCGAGAGGCAGACGCGGAACTTGAGGCAGGCATGGCCACACCTAGGCCACTAAGAGGAAGATGCTCAGATGGAGACCGATCGCGGTGCCGCCTGCCTGCGCGCAGTTGTCTAGGAGGCTCTGGCTCAGCGAACATTTCAGAAGGCTGCTCGCGAAGCCCGGGGTGCCGCCCCCAGGACGGTCCGGAGAGCTCAGCGCGGCGCTCCCAGCCTCTTCCCGCCTCCGAGCGCCCGGGCCGCAGGTGTCCGCCCAGCCCAGGCACCCACCGGGCCCTCCCGCAGAGCCACGGTGGGCCGGGCCAAGGCCGCCGTCCCCGCCCCCGGGCGCGTCTCCTCGAGCCGGCGCCGCGGTTGGCTTAGTCTTCGGCGGGGCGCGCTGCGGCCGGACTCGGCTCGGCTCGGCAGGGCTGCGAGCCATGGCCCGGGGCACGCGCGGCTTCCCGCATCGCGGCCTCTGGCTGCTCCTGGGTGAGTAGGGTCCCCAACGAGCCCCGACTCCCCGCCTGGCGCCCTCGAGGGGAGGGCGGGCCCACGAACTCAATGGCCCCTGCCCTTGAGCGCCAGCGCCGCCGGGCAGTGCGGGTCAGCCGCGGGGAGCGCCCACGCGGCCGCCTGGCAGTGCGGGTCAGCCGCGGGGAGGGTCCACTCGGCCGCCGGGCCGGGAGCGTCGGGCGAGGCTGGTTCCAGGCAGGAGGTTCGCGGCGCAGGGCAGGCGGGGGTTCGCAAGGGGCTGCGCCAACCGTTGGGAGAATGGGCCGCTTTGGGGACGTCAAGAGAGCCAGGCGTTTTGAAAGGCGCGGGGTCCCCCTGCCCCGCACCTCTTCCACCAGCTCAGGCTTCCTTTGGCTATCGGTTAGCTACATCTGAAGCATCCACCTTGCAGATTCAGTACAGTATTCGGGAATCAACCATAGTCCAATAACCATGAAATTGGCCAAAATTGAAAAAACTGACTCTGTGGCATGCAGCGTTGCTTATTTGTAAATGACGTCCTTTGCAGAAATGAGGCCAGCTGTATTCCTTTTTGGGGACGTTTCCACAGCTTTTTTGTTTGCTTGCTTGTTAACTTGGCACTTCTGGCTAATAGAAATTTGAAGGGGGATAGGGGCCCTTGGTGAGCGGGGAGAACATGCTCGGCTTTGTTCTTTGAGCGAGATGATAAACAACCCAGTAGAGAGGCAGTAACCTGCAGTGGATTTACCAAGAAATTGCCCTCCTCACTCCCATTGACAGTGGTATCTTCATGAAATGCAATGGCAAGCCCGTTTCTAGACTGTTTTAGCTATTTCAGGTATTCAGCTACCTTTTCATGGAAACTAAATAAGTTACATGAGTGGGAGAGCCCAGTGCCCATGGAAGGCACCCACAGTGATTCGTGGTACTTGTGGCCTCTCCCCAAGACGGAGGTGTTGGGCAGAGACACCTGCTGCACAGTCCCTCATGCTGCCACTGGTGAAGGGGCGACCAGCAGCTCTGTTTTTGCAGCTGGGGAAGCAGCTTATGGCAAGGTGGCTTGACAGCCGGCGTTACCCAGGCACACCGAGGAGAAGGGCTGAGGGCCTCACAGGAGCCTCGTGGTTCCTGGCCCCTGTTTGTAAACCTCTCTAAGCAGCGTCAGAGCTGCATCAAGGCCTCCGTGGGCTTCAATAGAATATAACCTGAAAATGGATCTTCCCACCTAAGTGTCTACTAAAGTTATATGAAAAGCAGAATCTTATAATCATTTTATTCTCTTCTGTTGTGTTAGGCTCCGTGTGGTTTGACATAGCCTTTACTGTTTTCGTTTCCTAAGAAACAAACATTTCTCTGTTAGCAAGGCGGGGAGCTGGGTTGTGTAATTTTTTAAAAAAAACAGATAAACAAATAAATAAATGTTCTTTACTGGTGTCCAGAGGCTGCACCCTTTAAAGCTTATGTAAATAAAACACTATGTCTGGATCACATATAAAGACCTTCCTTGTTTACCAAGAAAACAATTCATGTTCTGCTGAAAGTCCAAAGTCCTTTAATTTGAACATTATTCTGAGTGGTCTGGCTAATGTTATATCTTGGAAGGACAAATACAACTTTATGAGGTTATCAGTAAATTAATGTCATTGGAGCTCAGCCGTAATTAGTAGAATTACCAAGCACATGCTGTTTCCTTTCCAAGCTGTAGCACTAGCCAGATCTCCTTGGTGATGAAGATTTTGCTACCCAGAATGGCAATGTGGAATTTCTTTTTTCTGAAAGAGTGTGCTAGTCCACAGGTTTAAGAATTTATCTTTGACAATTTTACAGTCAAGATATTTTTCTTATGCAGCTATTAAAATCTCACTGTACATATAATTCTTTTCTCTCTAAGCACCCTGTATAGTCTTCTGTAAACAGAAGACTGATATGACCACATGCATTTTGAAAGTTTTATATATAGCCACTGAAAAGGTTTTCATCAACCAGAAAAGAAGGACATTTCCAGGTGAGCCAGGATTATTTCATGATGACTGCATTGCAAGCGCCTGTTTTTTCGAGCCCATCCTCGCTTGGGGACTGCCCGCTGGTGCTGTCCTGTTTGAACTCCTCCTCAGTCGTCAGTCCTGCCCATGCCTGCCTTAGCTGCCTTGCTGGTGGCTTTGGGGGTTTTCTTGATGACTGCAATATTTATTGAAATATGACTTTGTAACAAATATAAGTAAAACTGGAAATGACTGAGACATCACAAGAAATGCAAGGTATGTGACTGCTTCAGATTGTCATGCACTTTTAAATCTGGACACAGCTCTAATCCTGAAATCCAGATCTGACGACTCTTACTTGCTAATCAACTCAGCGTGTGTGTTTACCCTCTCTCTGTGTTTGGCTACAGGAAGAAGTTTCTGGATTTTTGTCTTCCTTCCGTAGGCACATGCCTATCAGTGTGCGTATTGTCAGGCTGAGGCCAGGGCTATTAAGAAATGTTTATATCCACATCCACAATGGAAATGGTGTTCAGCAGCACAACACGGAATGTTTTAGGTGGAATCCTTACTTGAGGCAAATAGCTAGTTGGAAAAGCTGTTCAGATTCTCCTGGCCCCACCCTAGGTTAAGCGAATTTCACAGCTTCTAATCAGTTAAAGCTGGCATCTGGCAGAGGGTTTGTTGTGGGGGCCATGCGTAGTGTGAATCCCAGTGCTGAGCCCTCCTTCAGGCCCAGAGTTCATCCTTCCTGAAAGGTCCATGTGGCATGGTGGGCTGTCCCTCAGTGGGCCCTGACCCAGGCATGACTGTTGGGATTGTCCCGAAGAGGAGGTGGGACCCAGGCTGAGCAGTCAGTTTTCTGCTGGAGCCATGGGGAGAAACCGTCTTTTCCCTAGGCTGGATCTGAGCGTGGGCTGCTAGAGTCTGTCCTGCCAGCCACCAGGGAACACCTGTCCATGACATGCACAGAGGGCTCCTGACAGCTTTTGAGCCCCTAGATTGAGCCCGTGGGGGTACCCTTTTCGATCATGTGAGCCCATCACATGTGACGTTTGAGCTGGATGTCAGTCCCCTGGAGGGACAGTGCCCGGTGGACAGCAGGGCTAAGGGGCTCTAATTAGAGCACCTCTGGAGAGCTGTGGGAATCCTGCCCAAGAGCCCCTTACTGCACTGGGGACTCAGAGACCTCCTGAAGGAGGGGACACCGCAGCTGTGAGAAGACAGTAGGAGCCAGGAAGGGGTGACCAAGGCTGCAGGGCCCCTGTGGCCCCAGCACCTGCGTGGGACCTGTGTGCCCACAGCCTCGGCACTCCAGACTCTGTGTGGCAGAGATGATGCCAGCGGGGCTCTGCCCTGCTCCCAGCCCCCTACAGTGGCGTGCCCTCGGCCCTGGCTGCCTGCTCGCCTTCCCCCAGCCCCCGCCACGGAGCCCCTGCGGGGAACCCTGTCCCCAGCGCTCCCCGCTCCAGGGCAGGACAGGCGGGGCTGGGCAGTGTTGCTAGAGGACTCGTTTCTCTTCGGTGAGAAGGATTATGTCCATTTGGCTGCCGCAGGAGGGCTCCTGACCTAAACAAGACCTTATTCATTTAGCATAATGGCATTATTGTTGTTCAAGGAAAAGATTGTTTTTCCTAAGATGGCGTTATTTTAGTATTTGCTTTGACATCCAAGAGACTACACTTTAATCATTGCCTAAGCCACAGATTCCAAGTGGCTTTGTCGGAGCAGGAGCAGAGTGCGTGGGGACCCACTGGTGAGCGTCCCCAGGGGTGCGGGCTCGTGGGCCTGGGTGGCACAGCCAGCTCCGTTTTACATCCTTGCTAGATCTCACGGTGACGCCGTGTTGCTCTGCGAGCGCCTCCCTCCCCCGCACATGCAGTTTCCACAGTGGATTCTCTGGGCCAGACCCCCGCCGCCCACACGCCCCACGCTGCCCAGTGTCTGCTCTGCCCACGCCCGCCAGGGTGGCCCCTTCCCCAGGCGCTGCCCTGCCTCCCTGGAGCCTGCCCTCCCACCCCTCCTGCTGTCGCCGGGGCAGGTGGCCCTTCCGTGTCCTGCATGCCCCCACCAGGGCCCTCATCGTGCCACATTGGCGTCCCCCCCATCACATGCCTCAACCCTGGACAGCGGCTCTGGAGTTGCTGGGAGTTTGCTGACACTGAGGGGGCGGGAGACAGCGGCCCTTGGCCTGGGGCTGGCTCACGCACGGGGCCCAGGCACTGCTGACCTGGGCAGCTCGACCACGTTCCCCGAGACCGTGCACCCCCACACGGGGCTCAGGGAGTCTTGTCCTAAGCCAGGTTCCAGCTCGGGGGAGAAAGCCGGCAATTTGCCCAGCCAAGACATTATTTGCAAAATAATGGCAGCCGTGTTGTCCCCTGTCCAGTCACTGCTGGAATGAAAGCAGCTCCTGTGTCCCACATCAAAGCCCAGGTTGTGGGGGGCGGAGGTCCAGAAAGCACCGTTCCTTCAGTAGACACGTGACTGATGCCACGGCGGCCCTCACTGCGTGTGTCTTATCCCCTGTAGAGGAGACATTTGGGAGGGGGGAGATGCACTATTTCTCCTGGAAACTTCTGTCACCTACAGGGGTGGTCACATAGGGTCATGACTGGGAAGCATGGAAGGCAGGATGCCACTGAGCAGCCTCCTGCTGTAGGACGCCCTGGACGGCGTGGGGCCACGTCTAACAGAGAATGGCCTGGCCCCAAACGTCTGTCCCCAGTGCCGAGGCAGGGCAGCCCTGCTCCGTATGCGTGGTGCGAACTCCAGTGCCGCTCCTGCAGAAGGAAACAAAGAGGACACCAGGGGGGCAAAGCCGGAGGTGAGGAGCTTGGAAAGCGTGCTCCAGAATACAAGAATGGGTTGTGCAGAGGCCCCAGTTCTTGGAAGTTTCTGGAAGCCCTTTTGACTGAAGCATGGTAGGAAAGAGGGCTCTGAGCCAAGGGCTCATGCTGGAGGAGGAACGGCTCCTCTGGGCGCTCAGATCTCATTCCGAGGGCGGTGGGAAAGCCTGGAAGAAGATTAAAG